GTTGTTGCATTAGCCAAAGCCTTGTATTCTGCTTCTGTACTTGATCTTGAGACTGTAGCCTGTTTCTTTGCACACCAAGATATTAGGTTAGGTCCAAAGAATACTGCAAAACCACCAGTAGAGCGCCTATGATCAATATCTCCTGCCCAGTCAGAATCAGAGAATGCACTGACAAGAGTTGAAGTAGACTTAGAGAAAGTAAGACCAACATTAACAGTGTCTTTGACATATCTTACTATCCGTTTTGCAGCAGTCCAATGAACTGTAGTGGGAGCATGAAGAAACTGACAAACTTTGTTCACAGCAAAAGAAATATCTGGTCTTGTAAGTGTCAAGTACTGGAGTGCACCAACTAAGCTTCTGTACTTGGTGCTATCTTCCTGATTCAGGAGTTCTCCCTCTGTAAGAGAAATCTTTTCAGAACTTGACATTGGTGTTGGTGATGACTTGCATCCCTGTAGCCCAGCTCTTCTTACAAGATCAGTAGCATATTTTTCCTGAGATAGGTGAAGTTCACTTCCTTGTTTCCTTACCTCAATACCTAGGAAAAAATGCAAGTCTCCTAGATCCTTCAGTGCAAATTCAGCACTAAGATCTTTCAACAGTCCTGTCACTGCTTCATCTGATGAGCTTGCAACAATAATATCGTCAACATAGATGAGCACAAAGATAGATGTGTTGCACTTATTGTTTAAGGCCATACAAAGCTTTATCCAACTTGCAAACATGGAAAGGTGTGTTTTTGTTCTCAAACCCAGGAGATTGCTTCATATACACTTCCTCTTCCAGAACACCATGAAGGAACGCGTTCTGAACATCTAGCTGTCTGAGACTCCATCCCCTGGAAACAGCAATAGACAAAACAAGACGAATGGTGGCAGCTTTTACAACGGGACTAAAGGTGTCCTCATAGTCTATGCCATACCGTTCCTTAAATCGTTTGGCAACAAGTCTAGCCTTATACCGATCAATAGTTCCATCAGACTTCCTTTTTATTCTGAATACCCACTTGCAATCAATGAGATTTTTACCTTGCCGTGGAGGAACTAGGTGCCATGTCTTATTTTTCTGGAGTGCTCTGTACTCTTCTTCCATAGCTTGCTTGCACTTTGTGTCACCTAATGCCTCATCAAGCGTTTGTGGTTCACCTGTAGAGCAGGCTAAGCCAAACTTAAGTACCTTTTTATAATTGACAGGTTGCAATACCCCTTTTTGTAGAAGTGTGTGTGGCATGGATGGTGAAGCAGTAGCAGTTTGCTGCACAGAAGATCCGGGGTCTGCAGCAGAAAAATCCACAGCAGCATCCCCCGGTTATCCGGAGGCAGATACTCTGCGGTCCGACGAGGAGGCAGGATTTTCTGCGGCTTCAGCGTGTGATGATGGGGCGCCATCTGCCACAGAAGATCCGCCCGCAGCAGGAGATTCGCCCCCCACTAGGAGCGTCACCGGGATCCATGCGAGATCCAGCGCCTGTCGGGTGGATCGGGTGGTCCACCGCACGGGACCCCGAGCCGGTCGGCTGACGCGGGCACCGCGCGTAGCACGTGGGCGGATCGGGGAAGCGGCTCGTCAGCTGCCGCTTGGGGCCCGGAGATTGGCACGGGCCATCAGCGCCCGCTGATTGGTCGGAGGCGTGGCGCGCTGTCGGGCGTGTCGTTGTCAGGCGTAGGTGCAGAGGACGTCAATCCCGAAGGAGATCGCCTGTAGGACTGGTGCGGCCCGGATCCCGAGGAAGATATGTTCCCCAAGGGCCTGCACATGAAATATGGCTCGTTTGGAGCTGTTTCTTCACCATTTTCTTCACCATGACCACCATTGGCTTCACTATTTTTTCCTGCATCATCACATAGCTTAAGCAAACTGTTATGAGGATTAGTTGGCATGTGATCATTACAGTTATCTTCCCTAGAGGCACCTACTAGATGTGATGGCAAAAGGAGAATTTCTTGGCGAAGAAGAGCACCGGCGTTTGGATGTAGATCAGCAAAGGGAAATTTTGTCTCGTCAAACACGACATCTCTAGAGATATAGACTCGTCCAGTGGAGACATCAATGCACTTAAATCCTTTATATTGAGGGCTATATCCCAAGAAGACACACTGTTTCGAGCGAAACATAAGTTTACGATTGTTGCAGGGTCTAAGGTTTGGCCAACATGCACACCCAAAGACACGAAGTGATGTATAATCGGGTTTGATGTGAAGGAGCCTTTCTACCGGAGTTTCATGATTAATGACACGACTAGGAAGCATGTTGATGATGTGAACAGTGGCAAGAAAAGCCTCGTCCCAAAATTTGAGGGGCATGGATGCGCCGGCCAAGAGAGCTAGACCAACCTCAACAATGTGCCTATGTTTTCTTTCGGCAGATCCATTCTGCTGATGAGCATGAGGACAAGAAACTTGGTGAGAGATGCCAAGAGTTTGGAAAAACGAGTTTAATTTTTCGTATTCCCCTCCCCATCGGATAGAACGGCAATGATTTTGCTATTAAACTTTCGTTCAACGTGAGCTTGGAAGTTTTGAAACACTTGAAAAACCTTGGATCTTTTTTTAAGTAAATAGATCCAAGAATACTTGCTTTAGTCATCAATGAAGATAACATAGTAAGTATGCCTACCAACAGAACTTGGAGCAGGACCCCAAACATCAGAAAAGATAAGTTGCAACGGTTTGGTAGAAATACTCGTGCAAATTGGATAAGGTAATTGATGGCTTTTAGCCTTTTGACAAGAATCACAAATTGTTTCAACATCACGCTCTCCAACATATGGGAGCTTATTCTTCCTAAGCAATCGTTCAACTAAAGAAAATGATGCATGCCCTAGTCTATCATGCCACCTTGTCGAGGAGATTTTGGTGACACCATAAGCTTGCTTATTTATTCTTCTAAACTCCGGAATCAATGGGTAAAGCCTGCGAACACATCTACCTCGGTAGAGCACCTTCCTCGTTGCCTGATCCTTGATCAAAAAGAAAAAGGGGTGAAACTCGAGAAAGACATGATTGTCAATGGCAATGCGATGAACGGAGAGTAGATTTTTAGATGCACTAGGGACATGAAGAATTTTTCTTAGATGAATCTTTCGGTGAGGGGTTTGGAAAACTGAATGACCAACATGTTTAATCCTCATACCTGATCCAGTTGCTGTATGTATCTGGTCTTGGCCGCGGTACTTCTCCCGCATAGTCACCTTTTCAAGTTCACCAGTGATGTGATTTGTAGCGCCACTATCAACATACCAGTTTGTATCAACCCCGTATGAGGCTTCTGCAGCACCAGCGACCTTCTCATCTTGCGAGGATTCTCCTTCATCCTCCTCAAACCGGTACCAGCAATCCCTTGCTGAGTGACCGGTCTTGCCGCATATTTGACACTTGACAGCGTCGGGGCGGCTCCTGGAGTTGTTGTGACGACCCTTGTTGTTGGTGTAGGAGGGCCGCCCACGAGAGGCGTTGTTGTTGGAGTTGCCGCTGCCGCCGCCGCTGTTCTTTCCCTTGTTGCACGGAGGGCCACGGTAGCCGCGTGAGCCACCACGACCACCATGAACGGCGGCGTTAGCGGAGCTCTTGAACCCGGCATTGTTGCCAGCACCATGAAACATAGCAATGCACTGGTGGAAGTTGCTTACTTGAGCGAACAGATCATCGATCGTGACCGGTTCTTTGCGGGCGTCGAGTGACGACACCAGCGGCTGGTACTCCATATCCAGCCCTGCCAGGATGTAGGAGATGACTTCATCGTCATCCAGCGGCTTGCCAGCGACCGCCAGTTCGTCGGCGAGGGAGCGGATATGGGCGAAGTAGGCGCCCACCGTTTGCGTGCCCTTCTGCACGTTGGAGAGGGCGATCCTGATGTTGTTGATGCGAGATCGGGACTGGGACGAGAACATGCTCGCCACAGCAGTCCAGAGCTCATGGGCCTTGCGGATCGAAGTCACCTGGATAAGAACTTCTCGAGAGAGATTGATCAACAGATGGCCAAGTACCTACTGATCTTCCATTACCCAGACTTGGTGTAGAGGGTTCGGGACGGCTTCCTCCTTGCCATCTTTATCCTTGGTGACGAGGAACTTCTCCGGTTCCTTGATGGATCCGTCGACGTAGCCAAACAGGCCAGCGTCGATGAGCTGGGGCGTGATCTGAGCACGCCAGAGGACATAGTTCGTCCTGGTGAGCTTATCTGTTACCTGACCATGGATGGTGGATACAGGAGCGACGGCGGAAGACGACATGGTTGGAGCTAGGGTTTAATGGATGCTAGATGTTGTGGAAGAAGGAGGCTCTGGTTACCATGTAAAGATGCGATAAACGTCTTGCCTCGGTACGAGGTGACGTGGTTCGTGTTTATAGGCAGGGGCGCAGATCCCTGTAGCGCATACAGGAGATAGAATACATCTTGGAGAAGAAGAAAGAGAGAGATAGAGTTAGCCGCGGTTAAGCTAGTTATCTAGGCCAACAAACTACTAGAATATCTCCAAGAGATCTGCCACGTTACAACGTTGCACTATATGCGCTGAACCTGAACCTTATATGTTTAACAAACTTAACATCAAATAATTGATTATGAATTATGCTACAAGCAAATTGCAGGATGTGAGTCTGGAACTCTGGATGAAGAGCAAATATGTGAAACACATGCAAGTAACAATGCCAGGACTTTCTCCTATACATCTTCTAGTTGTGAAAGGGTTATTTTTCGCTCTCGCGTAGTTGCGTGAATGACTAGTTAGTAACTTGGTGCAAATCCAACTAGAACGAGCCGCAGCAGGAGGAGAATCCAGAGTATTAATTGCTCATCATTTAGTTAGCAGTTCTTTCAAAAGAAGCTCCATGAAAACTTGTCATTTGTAAATGAACTACGGCTGACTCATATATTGTAAAGCATGTTCAAGGCGCATATAGTTGAAAGATTAAAGTGAACTCTGCAACACTGTAAATATTGGCGGTACCTGGAGCGTAGAAACTTGTGTAAGGAAAAACATATTGTCTGCCGATCCGTTACTTAGACACCTCCTCGATCTTCATGGACATGAGATGGATCATATAGATCCTAGGATACACGTCGATGAAGATCACATCCGCATCTACCGCACAACCAACTGCATGCGCTCCAATAGCTCCAACCATACACGCTGACACTGCTTCAGGCGCAAGAATTTTTTCGAGTTCAATGACCCTTAGATGTGTCCATGTCACCACCCCGTCAATGCTCGCCACCTCTGACCACAGATTAAAATTGAAATTGAATCGTTCCACTCCAGCTAAACCGAGGCATCCATCCTTTGTCGGCATGATGATAGTCTGATCGTAGGTATATGGCACCTCCTCAACTAAATCCAAGCTATGCTTATCCAAAACGAACTCAATGATGCTATTGTTATCCAACAGGAAGTAGATTGTGTTTCCAATCAGAGCTGTCGGCTTTGGCAGAACTAATGCATCTGGTAGAACAATCAAAGTGATCTCACCCCAGGCACCGGTCTCGGACGAGAAGACGCATGCGGAGGTGATGAAATCTCTGTCGTCACTGAACACGAACGCCACGAGAAACGGGCACAAATGGCAGTCGCGGTGGTCGGTGTGGCCAGCCGCACACAGAACCGCGCCATTGTACCCAGAACAGTCATGCGCGGGGAGCGGCAGGTACTGCTTGTCGCCGGTCACGAGGTCCCAAACAAGCAGCGTCCCAGTGCGGCAGCTCTCAACGAGGGCGCGGCCGTGGCGGCAGTCGAGGGCCCACCAGTCATCTGGGGACATTGTGGCGGTGGAGAGCGCGAAGTTGCCGAAGGTGGGGACGAGGGCCCTTTCTGGTTGAAGAAGCCGAGCACGGGAGGCGTGCCGCCATGCAAATTGCGGAAGCGGTGGAGGAAGCGGGCGTCGTGGACGAGGCCGCGCCAGTGCTTGCAGACGAAAGAGGCGCGGAAGAGGTGGATCGGCTCCGGCGGGAGGCGCAGGAATATCTCCTGGAGGAGATCGTCCCGGGGGAAGCGGCGCGGCGGCGGCCGCCGGCGAGCTTGTCCGTGCCTCCATGGGGTTCGGGGGAAAGTGGGTGTGTGTCGGCTTTGAGCTTTGAGAGAACGAATAAAATAACTGGGCCCTGGTTTAAGTTAGGGCGAGTACTATGTGACTTCCAACTCCGGCTCTCCGGGGCGGAAGGAATATGCGGCCAGGGGCAGCGGAAGAAGTGCGCGTGGGCGCTGAGGTTGGAGGTAGGGACCTACGCGGGATAGGAGCTAGCCGGCGGCAGGATCTGGAGGAGGAAGGCGAGGAGCGTGGCCACCACCGTGCCTGGATGCGGTTGAGAGAGAAAGAGAGAAGGGGATCTGGAGGAAGAAGGTAGAGGAAGAAACAAGATAAGGTGGGGGCAGGGAGGTGCGCAAGATGTATGATGCGCCTCGATCACGTGGCTCGCGCGTGACCGGGTGAAGATCAGCCGGTCGGCTAGGCACAAGCGTTTCCCTTAATAAGTTAGACCCCCTTCCACCCTTCGTCAAAAAGAAAACCTAAAAAACACTTCCAAAGCACCATCACATTGAGAACACATTGACTAATCTCAAAGCATCCTCCCATTGGTCAATGATTTAATATGAAATTGACTCTAAAGTTGGTGGCAGATGTGAGTGGTGTCATCCTTTCCTCAGCAACCTTCATTAATCCTCTCTCAACATAGGTAGGAAGATAAACAAAATATGGATTATGTAACACAATATGTATAATAAAAAACTGTTTTAAATACAAATCTACTAATATGACATATAGCTTGCAAAATGTCAAAAACCTTGAGGCTAACAACTGGTTAATCATACTGTCCTAGGACCTCAGGCTCAAACACATTGCATAAATACTACACACTATACAAACCCATATACCTTCGAGACACTCATGGCTAAGTGCAAGAAAAAACTCAACTCATATATCATAATTAAGGTCAGCATAAGAAAACGCCAATTACATATACAACATTCAATGTGGACCGTCTGATATTTCAGGCTCCTCTTTAACCTTGCGATTGTTGGAGAGAATGTTTTGATCTTCCACTTCACAGAAATAGCCTCACCGCTTGCATTTTTACTCCAACGCTAGTGCACATTCTTACTGTAATTGGAATGCATTAAGAAACTACCATGTCACCAGAGTGGAGGAAAGGTTCTCAAGGAAAATAGTAACTTCAAGTAAATACTACAATAACTTATAAATACTAAATGTAAAAGTTTACAGATGTAATCGTTTCAATCATTTATGGACACTACATATTCGTATAAAAATCTCCCTAAAAGCAAACAGAATACTTTCTAAAATCTTAGCCATTAAAACTTGAGTTCTACATATATAGGTTGCAATGGTGCTTTGTGTAATGAAAACAAAATGGAAGAATTAACATGTGACTAGACCAAGCAAAGAGGAAAGGTTCTCGGGACAAACTTTAACTTCAAAATAAATATTAAAAACTTCATAAAAAATTGCAAATGTATTTTGTTGAATCATTTATATGGGTATTCATAGATTTGTTTCTCCAAAAAAACTAAATACTTCCCTAAATTTTCAAACATTAAAACTTGACTTCTACATAGGTCGTGATGGTGCTCTTCTTAATAAAAAAAATGCAAGAATTACCATGTCACTAGAGATAGCAGAGTGGATTGGTTCCCGGGACAAATTTAAACTAAAAATAAAATTTAAAAACTTCCAAAAATGTAAAAATTACACATGTATTTTCTTGAATCATTTATATGGGTATTCATAGGTTTTCTCCATCGATAAAAAAACTCAATACTTCCCTAAATTTTCAAACATTAAAACTTTAGATACATGGTCGCAATAATGATCTTTTTTTTGTATAAAAAAAATGCAAGCCCATGCATGCTACCTAAACATTTTACATGTCTATTTTTTCCTGATTATTTTTCACATTTAGAGAACTTCTTTTTCACTGCTCAAGCTCATTTACGACTATGCGGATTGGCGCACAGGATTGGCGGGAAAGATATCCTCACTTAACCCATTGATGTTTCTCTACTGACATAGCTATCCAATAGTAGATGGAAATGCTTTTCCAAAACGAAATTGCCAGTCAGTGGTAGGTCCGGTTCAGCCACTGAACTACTGTAACAATGCCAGCCAGCACCTTGAAGATGACCCATACTCTAAATCCGACTGAAACGTATAAAAGACAATCAAAGGAGCTGGAGAAGTTGCGTCACCATTTAGCCTGGAATGGAAGATATATCAAGTTCCATAATGTCATGGCATCACATCAACGCATTAGGAATTCCAGAGTCGAACCTTACGATCGTCGTCCTCCCTGGACCAGCCCCGCCGCCGTACGTGGCTGCGTGAACAGCAACTTCAGCGATGTCACAAACCACGCAGACATGGACCGCAGGTGCCGTCTCTCACTATGCACATGAATCATATATACTCATTTTGCTCTCAAGTATTTTGCAAGTAATGTGGCAGCTGAACATTGAGTTCCCCCTATGCAGTATCAGAAATGGAAGAAGCAGCAGTGTGTATTCTGTCTAGGCCCTAAACGTGGCTCCCGCGTGCTCTGGCTCTGGCGTTGGTGACCCCCACCCCCCACCCCCCGCGCGCTGGTTGTCGCCCCCGCTGCCTCCCCTAGCTCCGGGGACGCCCCGGTGACCGTGCCCCCTCCCGCTCCGCCGGCGCTATGCGCTGCGCTCGGGCCGCTGCCCCC